GGGCCGGGCGCAGGTCCAACGGGCTAGCGGGGGACAGCTTCGGGCAACCTCCCAGGCACCCGCTCGGCCCTGCAGGACAGACGCGGCGCCTGGATCTCGCACCCTCGCTTTGCAAAGAGCCGGCGGCTGAGCGAGGCTTACGTGTGCAGGAGGCAGATGGTGGGTCTGACGGGGACCGGGAGTAGTTCTTCTGGCACGAGCAGAACGTGGAGGCTTCCTCATGCGCAAAGCTGTGCTCAGGGCAAGGAGAACAGAAAGGGAGACGGAGGGAAAGCTTGTAAAATCCAGGAAGGCAAGCTGAAAAGACAGAGAGAGGGAGTTATGGGAGGAACACCACAAGACGAAGGGGGGATACGTCTGATGACAGCATTTCCCCATTCCCTGGGGCATCCTTTGCCACTGGCCAGCAGGCATCCCCTCCAGGCTACCTTCCCTGAGCGCCTGCATGATCCTGGCACCAAGAGAAACGCGCCTCGGGTTTGAGCCAGAACGGACATTGGGATGTTGCGGCTCTGCGCTGACTTTCGGGCTGGGGGACCCTTTCGAGGGGCTGGAGGAACGGTCAGACGTCAGCTGGAGCACCACATGGAGGTTCTGGAGGGACACAGGGGACGAGGTGGCTGCAGAAAGATGCAGGATACAGAGAACACACGGCTTAGGGTTTAGAGTCAGGTGAGCGGAGCAAAAATGACATGGGAGCCACAGCAAGAGCCCCAAAGGGGGAGGGATATTGAAAATGGAGAAGCTGGAGCCTTCATCAGTCACCAGAGCGTCATATACGAGCCCAAGCCTCGCGGCCGTGTCACTGGCAGCTACGGCTTCGTTGCTGTGGATTACGCAGCAGTCACTGCAGGCAGGGATATCAGCTGGAGCCAAATGACAGTGGTGTAAATCTGCTTTTGTAGGTCATACACAGCCTTCCCTTACCCTTTCAAAGGTACCTCCGGCAGGCAAACAAGCGAGTGGTTCGCACGCCGGTCAGGGATCTGCTTGATCTCCACTACAAGCAGCAGCAGCCCGCCAGCGAGCGCCCAGCAGCACCGAGTTGTGCCGGGAAGGCTGACTGATGCCTTACGAGGACAACGAGAAGGGCTGCAAGGGACTGCCCCCCGCCCCGAGAGGGGACCCCGCAGGGCCAGCCGTTCGCCTCAGCTGGATTTCAACCCAAACAGAAGCACCCACCTTCCGCTGGGCTGCTTCATCTTCTCGGTGTGGTGCTGCCGTCTGCCACCCCTTCGCCAGCCCCCTGACTATTTAATCACGTGTAAAGCCCTTGAGTGAACAGCTCCACTAACGCAGTCCCCTCTCTCATCATTTTTAAGGACTTGGCTGCCGAGACCGCTCCTTTTAAAGCAGATTATTCCACTGCACTCTGCTTCATTAATTTTTAGCGTGATATAAAACTGGCGGCCGCAGCTGCGATCTGAGGACAAAGCACCAGACACAGCACAGGCAGGGGAGATCTTTCCCTGGGATGCTGGAAACGGGCAAGCACTCAAGGGGAGGTGATTTCATCTGCCACAAGGTCTTTAGAAATTCGGCACCCCGCCGCCACGCTCCGGGAGGGACTGCGGCACCATGGCCGAGGCTCGTGCTCCCAGGTGCCTTCACCCCCTGGCCACCAGCGCGCGGCGGGCAGCAGCCCCGCACATCGGACACTTCTGCTGCCCAAAAGCCATGCTCCCTGCCAGACACAATCTGGTGTCACCCGGCGCAAGCAAAGCCCGCAGGAAGCAGAGGATTTGGCCTCCTCAAGCCCCTCCCAAGGAACAAAGAGAGACATCCTTGTATCTGGAATGGAAACTGCAACTTCCCAACTGATGTGGACTCAACGTTACCTTTCTATTGCACAACCAAAGAGTTAAATTGTTAAAATGGAGACTAAAACCCCCCAAAACTTTCAAAAAACTAGCAGATCCTTCCTGGGCCCCTCTCGGCTGCGGTTCCTAGCCGAACTGGACAAGACAAAGCATTCCAGCGCCTGCTGCGCTGCCCAGACGTGAAGGGCAGCCTCATGGGTGGGCTCTGGCCAGCTCAGCTGGTGACCGAGCTGGACATCAGGACCCCGCCGCAGCCACTGGACACACGCTGGCGCATCTTACCCGCCTGACCTGCCCGCGGCGTCGGCGCTGGGCGAGACAATCCGCACGCCAGGATCCCTCACTGCCGGCAAGGGGAGCCCAGACACCTTCACCGGGCGGGCAGCCGGAGCGGCCTCCCCTGGGAGGCGCTGGAAGCAGGATTTCTAGGAAAATGTGTGTTTCTAGGAAGAAGGATTGACGTTTGCTCCTGGATCTTGCAAACTCTGCAACAGCCGCTGCCCGTACGGCACGGGAGAGCCCGCGGTCCCGCACTCCCCTCTCCCGCCTCCAGCCCCGGAGAAAGCGAACCTTGAAAAGCACAGGCTTGAAAAACACAGCAGACAGGTAAGATTAAGACAGAGAGCCACAAAGCACAGTAAATGTCATCCCCTACCTGGGGCACTAGATGAAGCGGGAAGAACTAGCAAGTGTTTGAGTTACTCCCAAAACTTCCAGCTTCCTCTTTATATTGAGAAAGCAAACCAAACCTAATGTGACATTCGTGTAATGCAGACACAGTCAGCTCGCTTTTCCTCCAGCTCGGCAGTGCTGACCACAACACGGGGCAGAAATATTACCAGTGGCCCGCTAAAGACCCCAAGGCCCCGCAGGCACAGGGTGCAGCCGCTTGCAGAGGGCGGAAGCCTGAGAGCGTGCCCTGCCGCAGCGGAGGAGAAACGGAGAAGCCCAGGACGAGCACTGAGCGCGTGGAGGTCCCCGCTGACAGAGCCACGGACCCAAACGCATGCTGCGCCCGGCCCGAAGGGGCAGGGAGTCGCAGACCCTCAGGTCCCACCGTCCCCACGCGCCGGGGACGACGTTTGACCTTCTCCGAAGGCCGAGGCGTTTCCTCCCGGCTCTGCAGGGAGGTGACCCGAGCGCACGCCCGGAGCTGGGGCTCACATCACCGCAGAACCGGCCCTTCTCCCAGCGGCTGGAGGACACGGGGGGATGTGCGCCCCGAGAGCGGAGCCAGGGCACGGCCGGTGCCCCGATGCCTCCTGGCAGCCCTGGGCCAGGACAGGGGCACGCGCGGGACATCACACGTGCATCTCCATTCCTCTGCTCAGATAAACTCCCACCCCCTTCCACCCCATCCTACAGGTGCTTCCCTTGGCCCCCAGCTGCTTTAGGTGTCCCTCTTACTTTACAGCGCTTGTTTTAGCAGCGGGTATGTGGCAGCTCTCAAGAGGATCCAGACATCAGTTTATAGAATTAAATTCCCTTTTTTGTACGCTATTTTCCACCCTATTCCTTGTCCCCTGGTACTACTGCAACTTAATTATTAAATAATAAAATTCAATACTGCATCCTCCTAGAGCCGAAGAGGAGCGGCTGGGTGGGTCAGACATGAATTGCCTCTCTCCAGCCCCATCCTCGCTGCCCACACAAGCTACTCCCTGCTCACCAGGCGTGCCTCGTCCATCCCACCGACGGGGAGAGCGCGTGTTGCATGCATGCACCAGCAAACGAGCGGCAGAACAAGAGCCGCCGATTTGAGCTGCAGCTTGGCAGATCGGCCGGCCCCGAGCACCCACCGAAGGGCTCCTCTTTCTGCCGCAGCTCCTGGGACAGGCTCCATCGAGAGGAGAGGGCAGCGTCCTCCCTCACGCCCCGCGGGGAAGGCAGGGGCACTTGAGGATGCGGAGTCGAAAGATGCGTGGTTTCCCACTCAATTGGCGCTGGACAGCTTTGATTCCCCCCCCCCCCAGCCGCTCAGACGTCACCATCTCCCAGCACCGTGAAGCTTTCCTTCCACCAGCGGCTCCTAGGCACGACCTTCCCCCCCAGCCAGCGACTCAGAGCCACAGCGCCAAGGATGCCGGAGCTGCTCCTTCACCAGCAAGGGCCTCAACGTTTTCCAAGCCGCAGCTGAGCGTACAGGTTTGGGCTTTGAAAATGGCAGAAGAGATCCCCAGCTGAAATCCTGATTGATCCACAAAAGGGCATCAGTTTGAGCAGCTTTATCGTGTTAATCAATGAGCGGTGATTAAAAGTGACTCGCTGCGTGCATCAGGTAGGACAACCTGGCTGCAGGGCACCGGCTCTGTGCGCTCCAGGGCTGACCGTAGGCGCCGCTCAAGCGAAGCATGGCCAAGATTCTGCACGCAGCAGTAAGATGAAGTTATTAATCGCCCTGGCAGTGTTTACCAGCTGGTCAGCAGCCTCGGGCGCCATGCACTTGCACCCATCACAGCAACAGCTGACTGCCTCAAACGATTAAGTTAACCTTTGTTTTCTTGTTGAAACGCGGAAACAACTCACCAGGCTGGCGAGCAGGAGCCCAGGGCAGAACGACCGCAGGCTTTGCACAAAGTCACACCGGACCAACAGGACCCAGACCAGGGCTCGGGTCCCCGGAGGTCCGGCCAGCACACTGACTGCACAGCCGACGGCAGAAATCGACCCTCACAGGTTCACAGCTCTCCTCTGCAAACGCTCTGCACCTTGGTTTACACACAAAGAAAAAAGACTGGCTCTTAACCAAGCGAGAGCAAAGACTGAGTCCCCTTCCAACAGCCTCCGAGACAGGCGCTGCACTTGCCACCGCTCTCCCAACGCAAAGCTTCTGCCCAGAGAGCCTCCCCCCTCCTCGCGGGCCACGGCGTCCGCACGCAACCTTACCGAGAGCGGGGCCGAGCAGCGCAGCGCCAACTGCAATTGCAATGGCAGCAACTCGCCCCCTAGGAGAAGACTCTTCTTTAAAGGAGCAGACAGCCAGGGTCAGCGAGCCAAGGAGCAACCCTGCCACCCGCCCCGGGGCTGCACGCCTGGGGACCCGGCAATGTCGGCAGCGGTGGGAGCAAGGGCAGGACCCCCCTGGTGCCGTGTTCAGCTGCCTGTCCTTCCCCAGGCTTGTGCCAAGGTCCGGCTGCTCCGCACAGCACAGCCGCATCAGCTGCACAGCCTTTGGTAAATTATGCAGTGGGTTTGGACAGACAAACGTGAGCAGAAGTGTGGGAGCCTCCACCGACGCCGCCCCCGCCAGATCGCAGAGCCCGGCGAAACAAAAAACCCATTTCCTGCCGTTTATGAGTCTCTTCTAATTAAAAAGTGTTCATCGTTTTGTAGAGAGGAAGGGGTCGAGACCCAAGTAAATCCTGAAGCTTAGCATAAAATATTAAGAGGATGAGCACAGATGGAAGATTAAATACCAGGCTGAAATTGCTTCATAACATGGATTTAGGAATAAAGCTACTGAACCCAGACAACTTC